GGTTTAACGGGCACGTACAATTTTGTAGCTCTGAAGCATATTATAAATGTTGTTGCATAGTGTTTGTTTAGCTTGACAAAAACAAATAGTTGAAATTTGCCCACCTTTCTGCCCCCACTTGCTGTTTTTCATGTTTTCACGCAAATTTTGCTTGACACCACTTCCATGCATCGATTTTTTCTTTATGTGCTATCATGAACTGTGCCATGATACTTTACCAGGATGAAATTTTGCTGCCTTCAGGCTTACAATCCCTGGGACATTTCACCGGACATCGGTCGTTTGCGGTCATTGCCGTGGACTATTCGTGCATCTTCGGCAGGTGTTTTTGTTTGTGTAGACCACAAGTGTTATTGGTCATCGAGCACGAGCACCCTTTCTGGACATCGCATGGATCATGTTGTTCCAGATAAATTAACAATCGATGACAATTTTGAATTAATTTCTGGCGGAAATTTGAGCAACAAAATTGACGGTAATTTTTTTCAAGCAAAATAGAACCTCATTTTTTAATTATTTCAGTATTAGGGGTTTTTTTTAAAACCTTTACTTTTGTAAGTTGCTTTTTCAGATGTTTTAACACTGTGTCGAGCCAATGAAATATTTCTTTATCGCTTAAAAAATAGTTATTTTTATTCCCTGCCGGCATATCCAGCCTCCTACAGTTCCGATGTTAGTCTTTCATCCATCTGCTAATTTTTGCTCAGTCTTTTGTTGATCCTGTTTTTACCCGTAATTTTCCAGGTGCTTGAAATTGCCTCATATGACGGGTCAGTGTACATATTGGATAGTTCTGGTTGTATATATGTAAAAGAACATATTAGCAGTTGTTCTCCTTTTGGCACTGAATGGAAAATTTTAGACACCGGAAAATGTGGTTCGTTTTTCTTTTTTTCCTATAATATCGGCAGTCTTTTTTTTGATCGAGTATGTTCTGACTCGATTTTTGTGGTTGCGCGTCTTTCTCACTGTGCGTTTAGCGTTGTTGTTCTGTGTCGCCCTCTTTTATTTTCATCCAAAAATATCAAAAGAAACAAGCAAATCTAGCAGTAAAGTTCTAAAATTTTTTTGTGCACTTTTTTTTGTATTATTTTATTCCTAACTGAGTGAAACAAATTGGAAAATTTGAACATTCCAGTTAGAAAAAGTTTTAAATTTTCCAATTTCCAATTTTTTCTTTTTTTTTTGCAACCGTTTTTCTCAGTTTAGCCGCGCATTTTTTGTAGAAATTTGGCTCAAATTTAATATTTTTTCGGTTGCTAGC